TATTAATACATTGAAAGTTTGATGAGGAATGGGATGTTTACATCCTCTCAAATACCTCTCCACAGAATACTTACTTGTTACAAAGGGAAAACAAGAGATTTTCCAGTGGAGAAGGTTGGCAGACGTCCCTTAACCAAGTGACCCAAGAGAACGTCATCAGTTACAGGTCAAATGGAAATCCTTCACCTCCTGATAGGACTCCACGAGAAGAACACAGCTTCACTGCTGTGACATTCCCGCCAAAGACACCTGACCTTAATACAATCATGAGGAACCAGCAGAAAAACCCAAATTGAGGGACATACTGCAAAACAAGTGGTCTGTAACCTTCAGGAGTGTCAAGGTCATGCGGGTCAAGGAAACATGAGGAACATTCCAGAAGGAAGCTGAAGAGACCGGACAAGTAGGGTACTGCAGGACTCGGGACAAGCTCCCTTGCTATAATGGACATTATTAGGGTCATTGGGAAAATTTGAATGCGGTCTGAAGATTAAACGGCAGTGACCTACCAATGTTTATTTCTTGATTTCGATTCTCATAGTCTGGCTTTACAGGGGGATATCTCAGTTGGAAGGAAACACATCCTGACCTGTTCAGAAGCATCTGAGTTCATGGAGCATCTGGGAGGCGACCTACAGTCATACAGTTCAGAGAAAATAATTCTTTTTGCTATGCTTGGAACCTTCCTGTAAGTTTGAAATTATTAAAAAATAGTAAGATTAAGCTTTCCCTGCCCTTGAGGGGACACGTTTTTCAGCTGCCGTGGGTCCTTTCTGTGTTTACTTCCAGGTGTGTGTGATAGGACAGGGCTGACTAAGCCTGGGCTTCTCTTTGTGGTGGGGAAGATAAAAGAGGGTGTGTGGTGGGAACCCGAAAGACTACCATCCCTCAGGGGCACGGGGCTGTGCCTGGGGCCTGTCTGATTGCCCCAGGTGGACAGAAATCCCAGGACATCTCTGGGCTTGAGGGGCAGGGACGGATCTGTGCGCTTTGTGGGGGTGGGTGGTGCAGAAGCTTCCTCAAAAGACCAGCTTGAGCCCCCGGAGCAGGGAGAGTGGTCAGAGACCCACTTACACCTCCTTTTGTCCCTGTAGCAATCCTGGACGGTTAGCATCATCCTTCATGTGTTGAGCCTCTGGGTGCTGGAGATACAGCAGCAAACAAGGCAGACACAGCCCCCTGCCCTCAAGGAGCTTGTAGCCTGGAAGGGAGAGATAGCTGGTAGAAGCAATGAGTAAGTAAAAGATACAGATGCTAGATGGTGATGTGTGCTAAGGAGAAAAAAACAAAAAAACCCAAAGGCCATCAATGGAGAATGAAAGCTAGGTATTGACCTGAGCAATGAGTAGAATATCTCTCTGAGAGGTAGAAGCTGGCTTGTGTGTGCATGTGTGCGTGTGTTCAATTATAGCCGTACTCTATCTGAAATGCCTATTAAACACCTAAGTGTCTGGTGTCAGAAGTTCAGAGAAGTCCAGGCTGGAGACAGGAATTTGGGCATCTTAAGCACATAAATGATTTTAAGAGTCTGAATGAGACGACCTAGGCAGGTCTGAGGCCCAGCACCTTTTCACAGCTGAGGGGATGGGGTGTAGACAGGCTACATCATTTGCCCCACATCACCTGGCTGGTAAGTTGTGGAGCTGGGATTCACATCCAAGTCAGACTTGTGCCAAGCCCCTGTTCACAGCTGCTGTGAAGTCTTGCTGCTGCTGACCGAGGGGCCTTGGGCAGGTCACTGACCTCTCACGGGCTTGGTTTCCCCATCTACTAAAGGAGGGGTAAGCAGTGGAGGGGTGGGTGGGACACAAGGACGTACAGAGGGTCCAGTGGTGCTCAGGCAGGTGGCCAGGGAGCCAGCAGCCACCCAGGCGGGTCCTGGGTGTGCCCCCTCCCTTTCCCGCCAGTCTCAGACACCTGCTGTCATCACAACAGCCCAGTCTTCCGGGCAGGGGTGGGGGGACCGGGTGAGATGCGTGTGCAGGGTCCAAAAGCCAACACCTATCACTTTACGATGAGAAGCCTCACGCCACCCAGCCTGGAGTTCTGGGTCCGGCCTGACCTGTGGGCCCTCCCTGTGGGTGCAGGATCCCTGCAAGCAAGTCTCTGCCAGCAGGTCACTGGGTGAACTTGGCATTTGAAGAAGGGGAGTTGGAGAGAGATGCAGGGTTGGTGGGACCAGGCTGGGTCTCTGGAGTGCCCCTGGGCTCTGTTGGGGGGACTGGAATAGGCTCCATGGCCTCAGTCAGCGCCCTGGCAAGGGCACGGCTCCCAGGTCAGCTCCAGGCTGGTCTGGTGCTCCTGGTCTTCCGGGGCTGGCCAGACCCCTTCCGATGACTCAGTCTTTCTTTAGAGTTGTTAATATCTTTCCCTCTGCCCAGGCTTGGTGGGGGGCCCACGGCCTCTGTGGCTTAGCACTTCCACTCTGGGGCATCCAGAGCCTTCACAGTGTAAATGCCAATGGCTCCTGTCACGTGGGGGCTGGGCAGGTGCCTGGCCACACCACTTCCTGTCCCCCATCCCCCCTGCCTCTGCCAGCTGGCAGGAGGAGGCCTCCAGCTGGCCACGCTCACTGTGGGGAAGTCGAATTTCCAGTCTCTCCCAGGAAAGCAGCTCCGGGCTGTGCCCTCTCCCCGGCTCAGCCCTGGCCTCTCTTCAGCATGGCTCCATCAAGGTCCTGAGCCCCAACTCAGCTCTGCCAGGAGCTCCGGCCTGCCCTAGGCTGCTCAGCTGAGGCTGGAAGCAATGCAGGGAGGCTGGGGGAGGGACAAACCCAGCACCCAGGAGCCTGAGAGGAAGCTGTGCTTGGGTTTGCTCATCTGTCTCCCCTGCCAGACTGCAGGTCAGGCCTGTTCCCTTGCAAGTCACCGCCCAGAACACTTGGTCTGGCCCTGGGCAGTGAGTAAATGGAGATGCCAGCATCTTGGGAGTCTGGAGGCTTTACAGGGCTGGGGGTTTGGATGTCAGCCTCAGGGGTCCGTGTTGGGGTAGACTCTGGAACACTCGGAGTGGGGAGGACACTGGTGTTCGGGGCTGTGAACGGTTGCCCGGGCATGGTTGGACTTGGGGCCTGGCCACCAAGACCTAGTGGGTCCACAAAGGGCTGTGGCTGCCCATTGGAGGCAGACAGCATTTCCCTCCTGTGCACGCCTCCCATGGGCGTCCAGTGGGGCTGTGTGTGGCAAAGGCAGCCTCAATGGGGTGCAATTTGAGTATTTGGAGCCAAGCGCTGTGAAAATCTTGGAAAGAATGTCTAGTGATATATCAGAAACTAATAAGACCAAAACAATCATTTGTTAGTTGTGTCTGCAAAGAGGAACATGGCAAGGTGAATTCTGATGCCACAGACGATCCCATGGCTTTTAGAGTGAAAGATCAGGAAGCACAGAGCAATGTGCCTGGATTTGCTTTACCTGAGAGGTGGGGAGGCTCCGCTCCACCAAGCTCCCAACCCCCAAGTCGGCCTTGGGAGGGGGGAAGCAGGGAGGGAAGGTGACGACAGTGAGAGGAGCTCTGGTGTTGAAGCTCTAGAGCTGTCTCTGCCTCTGTTAGATACATGCCCTCAGCAAATCACTGTGCCTCAGTTTCCCACGTGTGGAAGGAGTAATATGCATCATGTCTACTACCCAAAGTCGAGGAGGTGGGAAAATGAGGTTGGCACCTGTGTTGGTGTTAGTCAGACCAGTCCTTGTGGTCATCCACACTCTCCCCTGAACCATCCTTTACGGTGTGCCTACTCTGTGCCAGGCCCTGGGGATGCAGGGAAACCAAGGCGGACGTGGAGCTCTTCCTGGAATCGGTCTACCAGCTCCCTCAGTTCCTCAGTTCCAGAAGCCTCTTCCCCCCCCCCCCCCACCCAGGGCCATTGTACCTGTTGGCCCCACATTTCCTGACCACTCCTTTTTCCTAACACACTCCAATCCACCCTCAGGTCTCCAGCTTCCCTAGGGACATCTTTAGGCACCAGCTCCGTGCACTGCCCACCGGTGGCAACCTCAGCTCCTCCTTGATGTCTGTGTTTTTCACCAGAGCACTGGGGGAGGTCTCTGGTTCAGGCCCTGACTAGCTGTCTTAGAGGTCCCCTAACCTCTCTGTGCCTCAGTTTTCCTCCATGGAACTGGGAACCACAATCGTCTCCACCTCCTGGGGGTTGTTGGAAGGAGTGAATGCGATAGGGCACCAAGCCTGGGCACGGTGCCTAGTAGCCAGTAAAGGTTGTATACATGTTACTCCCGTTGTTATTTTGTAGTCATTATCATCAGACTGCCGGGTCCAAAGGGTGGGGCTTTGCACCGTCCCCGCAGCGCAGCACCTGGCGCGTGTGAACCACTCGGCATCTTCCCGACCTGCCTCAGCTCCTTGAGGGGGCTGCATCCTTGGTGCTGGCACTGCCCAACTGGGGAGAGAATGGCGATCCCACTGTGTCACGGAAAGCCCGGCACCCAGTAGGTGCTCAGGAAATGGCCGGTGGACACTAGGAAGCGAGTGGCCGGATGAACGCACGCTCACTCCCTCCTCCCTTCCACAGTGCGCGGTGGAATGCTCGGGCTGCCCACATGGTCTTTAAGGGTGTATCCGCCTCCAATGACACCCATTCCCACAACAAAGAAGCTCGCCTCCGTGGGGCCACCTCCCCTCGCCGCAACCGGGAGGCGCAGTGGGTGAAGAGCCTGCCCATCCCCCAGGGCTGCCCGGCATCCCAGCTCGAGAGCTGTCCCCGGTGGGCGCAGCGGCGACAAGGGCCCAGCGCGGGGGGCGTCTGGCTCGCGGGCCCCGCCGGGACCGGACGAGCGAAGAAACCTCAAGCCGGGGTGGCGCCCGAGGGGCGCACGGCGACGCCGCCTCCAGCCGCGATTTAAAGGGCAGCGAGGGGCGGAGGGATCCCTGCCGACTGCTCAGCGCGGATCCCTCCGCCGCGAGCCAAGCGAGGCGACGACTCGGCCCTGCCTTTCAGAATTCGCCTTTTGTCCCTCCGCCGTCGCGAGCACCCGGCAGGGAACTCATTTCTTTCTCGTGTTTCTCCGCCTCCCGCCGCCGAGTCCCGTAAAAGCAACAGAGGAGGCCCAGGCGGCGCGAGCCACCGTAGTGTCCCTCCGCCCGGCCGAGGGTACTCCTTTTCGTGTCCTTCCACCGTTCCCGGGCGGCGTCCGAGCGGCTCACCGGGGGCGGCGACGCGTCTGCGGCGCGGACGGCGAGGCTCCGGAGCTATGAGGTGAGGGTGCCCAGGCACCGGAGGCGGCAGCGCGGTGTCAGGAGCCAGGACGCGGAACCCCCAGGCCGGTGGCTGCCTCTGGGACCCCGCGGGCGCACGGGAGGCGAGGTGAGGCCCGGGGCGCGGGGCGCGGGGGCGCGGCGCGGTGGGGGCGGGGGGCTCGGGCCGCGCTGGGACTTATTTCCCGACAGCGGAGGGAGCTGGCGGTGCTGCGGTTGGCGCTGCCATCTTGGATTTTACTCTCCATTTTTCTGTGGAATTATTTTTTGGTGATTAATTTTCGTGGGGGCCGGGGAAGCGTCGCCGGGCGGCGCGGGCCGCCAGCGCAGCGGCCGGGCGGCG